TTACAGCAACCTCCAGCTCTTGGGCTTAGGTGATTCTCTTGCCTCAGCCTCCTGAGTAGCTGGGACTACAGGTGCCTGCCACAATGCCCAGCTATATTTTGGTTGTAGTTGTCATTATTGTTTGGGAGAAAAGTTGTCACAAAGTTTGACTGCAATGGGAGGGGGAGGGAGGAATGGCAGTCAGCTCTGGTATATAGTTTTACTTCATATTGTTTTTGTGTGTTCAGCAGTATATACGAACAGACTACTATGTAGCACCCTCCAACTATCATGTCCAAGTAACTGAAGGAAATAATTCCTAAAGAACTAAAGGAACATATGAGAATTTTTCCTTTCCAAATAGAAGATATCGATAGAGACAAATCATACGTAACTGAACAGAAATTCTGGAGTTGAAAAGTACAATAACTGAAATGAAAAAGGAAGGAACAAAAGTATATTTGAGAAAGAATCAACAGTATATTTGAGAAAGGATCAACAGTATATTTGAGAAAGCAGGAGAATCAAAGGACACGAAGACAGGTCGATTGAAATTATCCAGTTCAACAAAGAGAAGGAAAAGAAAATGAACACATTCTTAGAGACCTGTGGAATATCATCAAGCATGCCAGCATAAGCATAATGGGAGATTGGGAAGAAAGAAGAAAAGAGATGGAAAAGATATTTGAGGAAATAATGTATAAAACCTTTACAGTTTTTATTTTTAAAAGTTAATCCAAGCAACTCAATAAACTCCACATTTTGGTACATCATTATAAAACTATCCATTGCCAAAAACAAAAACCAAAAAACAAAAATCTTTTTTTTTCTTGAGATAGAATCTTGCTCTGTTACCCAGCTGGAGTGCAGTGGCATCAGACCTCAAACTCCTGGGCTCAAGCGACTCTCCTGCCTCAGCTTCCTGAGTAGCTTGGACTATAGGCAAGTGCCATGATGCTCAGCTAATTTGTCTATTTTTAATAGAGACAGGATCTTGGTTTTTGTTTTTTTTTGTTTTTTTTTTTTTCGGTTTTTTGCCGGGGCTGGGTTGGAACCCGCCCCCTCCAGCATATGGAGCCAGTGTCCTACTCCTTTAAGCCACAGGCACCACCCCTGGGATCTGGTTCTTTTTTAGGCTAGCCTGGAACTCCTAGCCTCAAGCAACCTCCTGCCTGGCCTCCCAAAGCACTAAGATTAAAGATGTGAGCCATTGAGCCCAGTCAAAAAAAAAAAAGAAAGAAAGAAAATCTTGAAAAGAGCCAGAGAAGTGATATATCAATTATAAGGAATCCTAAAAAGATCAACAGCTGATTACTTATCAAAAATCACAGAGGTTAGAGGCAGTGACATGGCATATTCAACCTTAAAAGGAAAAGACCATTAAAAAAATTGTATATTTAGCAAAACTATTCTACAAACTTGAAGAATAAATTAAGGTATTTCCAGATAAACTGGGAAATTTATCCCAGATTACTGAGAATTAATCACTAGCTAACATCCCCTATAAGAAATAAAATGGAATCTACCAGACTGAAGGAACTTCAAATAGAAGTTATAAGATGGCAACTGAGATCTACATGAAGAAATGAAGAGCACTAGTAAAGGTAACGGCATAACTAAAAATAAAATATTGGATAGATGTATCTTTATATCTTTTTCATTTTCATAACTGATATAAAAGACAACTCCATAAAGTAATAATTATAAATCTGTGCTGCACACATAATGTATAAGAATGTAACTTGCTGTGACAAGAACAGAACAAAGGAGATGGGAAGGAACGGAGCTATACACAAACAACATTTGGGGGGGCTCCTGTGGCTCAAAGGGCACCGGCCCCATATGTCATAGGTGGTGGGTTCAAACCCAGCCCCCACCAAAAATTGCAAAAAACAAAACAAAACAAAAAACAAAAAACAAAAACAGAAAACAGAAACAACATTTGGTTGGTTTTTTTTGAAACAGTCTTGCTTTGTTGCCTGGGCTAGAGGGCCATGGCTTCAGCCTAGCTCCCAGCAACGTCAAACTCCTGGGCTCAAGCAAGAGTCCTCCCTGCTTCACTCTCCCAAGTAGTTGGGCCTGTAGACACCTACCACCACACTTAGCTAATTTTTCTGTTTTTAGTAGAGATAAGGTCCATCTGCTCAGGCTGGTCTCAGAACTCCTGACCTCCAGAGATCCTCCCACCTTAGCCTCCCAGAGTGCTAAGATTACAGGGATGAGCCACCACAGCTAGCCAGAAACAAAGTTTTTTTTGTACAGTCCTAAAATAAAGTTGGCATTAACTAAATTATTTTAGGTTAAGAAGTTAATCATAATCCCTGAGGCAACCACAAAGAATATAACTAAAAAAAAAAAAGTAAAAGAAACCAAAAGGAAATTTGAACGTATATTAGAAAATATCTATTTAACACAAAAGAAATTAATAACAGAGGAACAGAATAACATAAGAAAAGGTATGATTTATAGATAAAAATAGTTAAACAGCAGATATCAATCTTACCTTATTACTAATTATCTTAAATGTCAATAATTAAGGCACTCTAATTAAAAGAGAGATCCACAGAATTGATTTTTAAAATTACTCAACTATATTCCATCTGCAAAGAAGCATTTTAGACTTATAGATCCAAACAGAAAGAAAATAAACAGGCAAACAGTAATCAACAGGGAGTGGAGTGGCAGCAGACAAAACAGACTTTTAGGCAAATATTATCAGAGACAAAGACATTTTCTGATGACAAAAGAATCAATTCACCATGAAAATATAACAAATATAAACATATGTGCACCTAATAATAGAATGCTAAAATATAAGAAGCATAAAAGCCAAAATACAAGAAAGCATAAAATTAAACAATTTAAAGGAGAAATAGACAAGTCAAAAAGATTAGTTGGACACTTCAATACTTCATTTTCAAAAATGGATACACTAATTAGAAAATAAAATACTGAGCTTTCTAGATCAGGTAAGATGGCCAACTAGAGGCAGCTTTCAACAGAGGCTACTGTCCAGAGGGAGAAAGAATGGACAGAATGGACTCAATGAAGCTGAAAGTGGGGAAATGAGCTAAGAAAGAAGATAGATAAGCACAAATCATATTTGCAAAGGCAAGCTGTGACT